TATATTCTCCTAATGACAATTTCATGTTTGCTTTATATACTACAAACACTCTTTACATTTTCATCACAGAACAAGGTAGAAAATATACTTTATAGTTTCTGTACTGTAATAAATTATATGTCAATTAGCACTGCATCATTCATATACACTCTTAAAAATAAAGGTGCTTCACGATGCCATAGAAGAACCTTTTTGTCTAAATGGTTCCATAAAGAACCTTTAACATCTGAAGAACCTTTCTGTTTCCCAAAAGGTTCTTTGTGGTGAAAAAAGGTTCTTCAGATTATAAAAAGGTAAGAAAGAGATGGTTCTTTAAAGAACCTTTGACTGAATGGTTCTTTGTGGAACCAAAATGGTTCTTCTATGGCATTGCTTGAAGAACCTTTTGAAGCACCTTTATTGAGTGTAGGCCTAATTTATTTATTTATTACCTGGAGATGACTTGAAAACCACACATAAACCATTTATTGTAGCAATCGTGTGTTTGTTGTCTTCACATTTCATCAGTCAAAACGTTTTAGCTTTTTATTCAGTTTAGTTACAGCGATAGCCGGTTGCCTTTGTCCATATTAGGAATTTCCTGGCACGTACTGTAGTAAGTTATTACTTCTATGAGTCCGTTTTGGACTTTCTGCATGAGAGCACCCTCCGGCTTCGAGTATGAATGAAACACACGCTGCATGAAAGTGTTAAGCGCTCCTGATATTCACATCTCTTCCTTTTGGAAATGAATAAAACATATCCAAAATTATGTAACTATCTTGTCTCTTGTGAACTTAAATCTAGATTTATTCACACTGGCGCTTGAAAACCTCTATGTGAACACACTTGCATGAAAAAGTGCGGGAGATTAATTTACTTTTTATTAAATGTGGGGGAAACACGTACCCCACGTCCCCTGCATATTCTATGGCCATGGTGCGGTGTATTTTTGGGGAGTGTTGCTTACATGGACAGAATGGGAGCGACTGCATCCAGGGAGGCGATGAGAATGCCAATCTCACAGATGCAGGCCGTCAGGAGGAGAGCCCATGTAGGTTCACCGTTAGCTTTGCCATGACCAAACACCTGTCAAATACAGAAGGTACAAATACACCACTTAGTATGATCAAGTATGGAAGCATCAACAGAGAGATGATCAGAGGGCAAATGTAGAGATGTACCCTGAGGAAAGGAATGATGCCGTCTCGGGCGATAGCCTGAAGGAGGCGGGGTGCTCCTGTCAAACTCTGAAGCCCTGCCCCACAGGTGGAGAAGAAGGAGCCAAAAACAATGACCCAGGGCGAGGGCCATGCCAGGGTGCCAATAACCAAGTTACCATTGACACCTTCACCAAATCTGTGTGTTTAGAACAGTGTTGTTATTGCTTATTGTAATAGTGCCAAAAAAATTCTTAATCAAAATAAAGCTGAAATAAAATAAAATAAATATATATATATAAATATTAAATGAAAACTAGAATTAGAATGGCCTTGGTAATTAAATGAAATAAAAAAGTTTAAGTTTAAATACTAAAATTACTAAAACAAAAATTGAAATAAAAATAATTTAAAGCAAAATAGAAATATTAAAACAAAACTTAAAAAAATGACAAAAGCATATAACAAAATGATTAAATCTAAAATTAAATTGAAAACTGAAATCTATATGTTTAGAAGAGTGTTGTTATTGTTACTGTCAGTGACACAAACCTAAGGGAGCAGGTGTTTGTGTGTGTTCGTACCAGTGGTAGAACTTAAAGCGTGGCCTCCAGTTCGGGGTCCTGAGGAGCGTCTGCAGCGCACAGGCCAGATTTACAAACATGTAGCACATGAGGAAGAACCTGCAGAGGAAAACAGAGCATCAGAATATTCATCAGAAAAATTATATAGAGAAAACACTTCCCCATTTGAAATTCTCATGTTTTGCAGTAATGGACTGCATTAGTGATCATTTATGTGTGTTATATTAAAGGTGCTGAATATTTATGAATTCAGTTATTCTGGATTTTATGCTCATAATTACATTAGACCACTATGTCCAGATCAGTTTGAAATCAATGCTGATCAGCGAAAGAAAGACAAATGAAGTCACTGTGGCTTTAAAGTGTTGAGAAAAAAAAACCAAAGCATGACAAAGTCCATACTTTTATCAGCTGTACATTTGTAATGCATATCTACAAAGGTTATAAGGGGGAATGTAGTGAATACAAAGTGCTGAATTAATGGTATTTTATTGTGCTATATACCTGTAAATAAGTTTAGGAAATAGAGGCTATTCAGCATAGTAAAGAAGTTTTATTACAGCAATATTGAGAAAGTAGAGACAGTTTATTGCTGTTGTTTCTCTGGGACTCATAAAGAACGAGGTGTGCTGTGCAGGGGTGTAGCCGTCATTTCAGAAGTGAGGGGGATAGGAATGTCAAATGTAATATATTGTATTGTAGTGTATTTATTTATTTATTTAGACCAAAACAAAACAAACTTTTCTTATCTCTTAATTGGGAAAAAAACCCTTAAATTGAAAACTGAAATCTATATGTTTAGAAGAGTGTTGTTATTGTTAACTAATAGTATTAAAATCATTTTCATTCATTGAAAAGCTGAAATATGATACAAAAATATAGATATAGAAAACTTAAAAGAAAATTAGAAATGTCCCTTGGCAATTAACTGAAATAAAAAAGTTTAAGTTTAAATACTAAAAATACTAAAACTAAAATTTAAATAAAAATAAATTAATGCTAAATAGAAATAGTTAAATGAAAACTAATAAAAATGACAGAAACATATAACAAAATCACTGAACTTAAACTAACATTTAAATGAAAACTGAAATCTTTGTGCCTCGAACTCTTATTATATATATTAACTGTTATTATTGTTAACTAGTAGTATTAAAATCATTTTTGTTAAAATGAAATAAGGCTGAAATGAAATAAAATAAAAATATCAGATGAAAACCCTTGGCAATTAAGTGAAATAAAATAAAGTTTAAGTTTAAATATTAAAATGACTAAAAATGAAATTTAAATAAAAATAAATGAAAGATAAATATAACTATTTATACAGAAAATCTAACAAAAATGGCAAAAGCATTTAACAAAACAAAACTAAAAATAAAACAAACTAAAATTAAAGTGATCAATTGAGCTGAAAAGTACCCATTTAAGTTTCAAATAAATTGAAGGCTATACTGAATCCAAATTGAATCAAACTACAGACTCACTTGTCCCTCAAAACGACTCCGTCCACACAGGCTCCAAACAGAAACACACTAGACATGTCTACAAGAGAAAAATTTAGGAGAACGACACAAAGCAGCAAAAAGGCATTCACCCCATTTCAGCTATCCGGTTACATTGTATCCTGTACATTTCAAGATTTGCAGTTCTGCATTGTGTGAAAGTCATGGGTCATTTATTTATGCAAAGCTGGAGCAGTTCATTGCCTTCGCAGTAAAGGATACAGATGATGGAGGTGGTTGTGATGGCCAGGATGGTACCAACAGGGATGGATTTCTGAGCGTCCTGCAGGTCACCAGAACGGTTGGAACCAGCCATGATACCTGTGAGACACACACACACACACACACACACACACTTTATATCTGGAAACACTGGTGTTTGTGGGTCAGGTTTTGCCTAGACTGAGGGGAACATATATCATAATAACAAAAAAACATCAAATCAATTTTTGCAGGTTTTTCTGAATAAAAAAAGAAAAGAAAAGGAATATCAAAGGTAAGATTCTAATTAACATAACAATTAAATAAAAAAATGGCCATAAAAAATGGTCAAGGACAAACACATAAATTAGACATTAATATGAATAATTTCCCTTCTAGTTATCAAACTGTTGTAGTGACCTGTGACGGAGGGGAAGTAGATGCCAACCAGCAGGGTGAAGAAGCTGGTGATATCAGCCAGGACGTATCCGTTAGTATTCACCCCATTTCAGCTATCCGGTTACATTGTATCCTGTACATTTCAAGATTTGCAGTTCTGCATTGTGTGAAAGTCATGGGTCATTTATTTATGCAAAGCTGGAGCAGTTCATTGCCTTCGCAGTAAAGGATACAGATGATGGAGGTGGTTGTGATGGCCAGGATGGTACCAACAGGGATGGATTTCTGAGCGTCCTGCAGGTCACCAGAACGGTTGGAACCAGCCATGATAACACACACACACACACACACACACACACACACACACTTTATATCTGGAAACACTGGTGTTTGTGGGTCAGGTTTTGCCTAGACTGAGGGGAACATATATCATAATAACAAAAAAACATCAAATCAATTTTTGCAGGTTTTCCTGAATAAAAAAAGAAAAGAAAAGGAATATCAAAGGTAAGATTCTAATTAACATAACAATGAAATAAAAAAATGGCCATAAAAAATGGTCAAGGACAAAAACATAAATTAGACATTAATATGAATAATTTCCCTTCTAGTTATCAAACTGTTGTAGTGACCTGTGACGGAGGGGAAGTAGATGCCAACCAGCAGGGTGAAGAAGCTGGTGATATCAGCCAGGACGTATCGGTTAGTGTTGGTTGCTGTGGCTTCAGGGTCGAGCACTGCTGGTATACCTCGCTTCTCTAAGATTGAATTTTTCTCCATAAAGGTGGTGAAGAGGTTTTCTGTGAAGAAAACAATGACATACATTTTGATATGTATTTTTTAAAAACAGAATGACATAAAATGCACACAAAGCACATTTTAAATAATATCATATTCTGATATATAAATCATTATAATATATATTGTTTAAATACATATATACATAATTTTATACTCACTTTGTTTTCATACTCATCATATGTAAGGTAAAGTGTTTAAGGTGCTGTATTACTATAATATAAACAAAAATGCTGTTTAAGATGTTGGGGTTTTCTAACCTGCCAGGATGCCACTGGTGATTCCAGGGATTCCCTGGATCTGACTGACGTTGTTGTTGGTGAAGTACTCATCGCAGGTGGCGTTCAGGTATATTATATTATATTATATTATATTATATTATATTATTATATAGACATATTACAAAAATAAAAATGGCAAAAACACAGCTAAATTACAAAAACTTTCAAATTAAAATTAAAACATAAAATACAAAACAACATTCAAAATATTAATAAAAACTGTAATAAAATAATATATTAATAGAACTTTTAGTATCTCAATGATGCTAAAATAACACTGATGCTAAATAATGTCATTTACAGTTTGCATCATTGCCTGAAAGACTTTTCAGCAAATTCTGCTTTAAAATGTATTATATGTAAACTATTAGTTTAAAGAAATTCAAATAAAGCAAAAAGCTATGAAAATGTACCAGCAGGATTTCGATGCAGCCCAGGATGTACATGGCTCCTGCAAAAGTGGTGCCCAGATAGAAACATATACCAACAGCCCCACCAAACTCCGGCCCCAGTGAACGAGAGATCATGTAGTATGAACCTCCAGCTGTAAGTATACACAAATTAATTTACCATTAAGCATAATACAGTACATCTAAAGAGTTAAATAGAAGAGAGTTTTACACCGTCATCATATTTTCCTTTTCTTGAGATGTAATTTTGACACAAGAGGCACATCAATAAGATCCTGTTATTTCAAATAAACACAGAGACAGACATGCATCCACACAGTTATGAGTGCGGAGCTGATCTCAGCACAGTTGGGAGCTGTACTGTGCACTGTAGCTAACTGCCCATGAAGAACAACAGGACAGCAGTCCTCTGGGCGTCTGCACACAAACACAAACACGCTGAATTCTGCTCACCTGGCACAACTCCATTGGTGGCAATAGCACTCATTGAGATAGCAGTCAGCATAGTCTGTAAATAGAGTAAATAAAGATCAATACAGAGGGGACAGTGAGTGACAGAGACAAGAGGCCCCCACTAAGTCCTCCAGTGACTAGTGAAAGAAAAATGTATTTATTAGGAAAGAAACTTTGAGTACATTAAGACATTGTGCGGATGAGGTTTCTTTTACAGCCATATAGCTGACTCATTGGTCGTAAGGAAATGCCTTAAAGACATGCATTCTATAATTATATTGTACCATTATTGTGCAACTTTTTGGATGTTGATTAAATATTTTGGGAATACTTAACAAGGTTTCATTTGTTAACATTAACATTATATTCTGTAGTTTATTAATTTAATAATACATTTTTGTTTACAAAAGTTGTATCTGTTAACATTACTTAATGTACTGTGAGCTAACATTAACTAACAACAATTGTTTTTATTAACTAACACTGACAGAGAGTATTAAAAAAGAATTTGCTTATTGTTAGTTCAAGGGAGAAAATACATTAACTAATGTTAACAAATTAGACCTTATTGTAAAGTGTTACTGATATTTTCATAATAAATTATTACATCATAAAACTGACATAATTTGACAGCTGCAGACGTGAAAAAAACAAACAAAAAAACAAAAACAAAACTTTATCTCAGTTCTTCACAAACGGTTCTTTGTGCCTTTCAACTCAAAACAATACACGTCACATACATTAATATTATTTGGGAAAATATTTTTAATAACTAAGTAATCTGACACGAACAATTTCAGCCCATTTGACATAGAAAAACAAAAAAGCTTTGCCCATACAATGCATGTTAACACAGCCTCAACCAATAAGCATGAGTTTGGGGTGGGGCTATATGCAACCAATGGCAGATTATAATTTCAGACTGTTTGGTAACAGTCATTATTTTTTTAAACAAAGTTTATTATTATGTCTTCATGCAACCTATATACACTACCAAATCTATATACTTTTTGAAAGAAGGCTCTTATGCTTATCAACACTGCATTTATAAAAAACAATTAAAAAAATCTGTTTTATATTCTAAAATATTTGAATATGTAATTTATTCCTGTCATGCAAAGCTGAATTTTCAGCATCATTACATATCATTACAGTCTTCAGTGTCACATGCTCTTTCAGAAATGATTCTAATATGCTGTTTTGCTGATCAAGAAACATTTCTTATTATCAACGTTGAAAACAGTTGTGTTGCTTATTATTTCTGTGAAAACAATGAGACTTTTTATCAGGATTCATGCTAAAGAACAGCAATAGAAATCTTTTGCAATATTTACTGTCAATTTCGATCAATTTAATTCAGCTTTGCTAAATAAAAGTGTAGCAGGAAATATGAATAATTAACCATAACTAGTTATAATTAACTATTCATATTTTAGATCCGCTGTAGATATTTAGCTGACCTCTCAGGGTCAACTGTCTGTCAATTCTAAGAACGTTAATTTCCTGGTTAAGGGAAATAACTTCTTACTGTACAATTCTACAAAGAGCTTGTAGCATAAATCTTGCATAATAAGGGACTCCGGTTATGAGCAAACAATGAACACGTCAAGTGTGATACAAGTAAGGTTTTATTAACTACATAAACACTTAAACTAGTCTAACAGACTACATAAACACATAGACTGGTCTAACATCCTACATACACATATAAACTGGTCTAACATACACATACACACACACACACATACAGTTGGTATAGGAAAGGGTTAAAGTTTAACTCAGCATAGAAAGAGGCATAAAGAATGGATTTTATGGAACACTTTGCATGTATATTCAACAGATCAAAGCCTTCAGGGATACGTCAGATTCTGAGTTCAAACACACCTTGTAGAAAGGTGTAACTGATACTTAATGCATCAATTAAATCGACTAAGTTTGATACTTGCGAGTCTCGGCGGTCTGAAAGAGATTCCTGATGCAAATCTTAAAGCTTCCCGTAGATCTTTGCTGAATTCGGGTCGATGAAAAGAACCAGTTTGAGTCAGTGTCACTTGATGAATGGAAAGGACTAGGCCGAAAGGCCTGGCACAGATGCTTTGGTATCCTGGAGCGTTTTTTTTCTCACATCTTCTTAGCTTCTGACCGAACCACCGACTGGGGCCATCACATGGTGTGTCAGCTTTAAGGTCAGAGAAGATCCCCCCCTCTCAAGATGGGCTTATCCAATGAGAAAAGCCGGAATCCCAAGTGGGCGTTTTGAGATCCTGTGGAGTTTATGACTCTTTGTGTGGAAACATGGTACTTTAGTATCTGGAACTTGAATCGAAAATACTAAAGGTTCTCAGGGCACTAATATATTGCCTATGTACCAACATATAATATACATTCTTGTTTAGATCATCAGAAGGCGAATTCATAGATACTAAACAAGCTATATGTAAGGTTATATGAATGAGTGGTTTATCGTAAGCATGAATAAAAATAGTCTATAATACAACAGATTAATACAAAACAGCAATAATACACACAATGGCCTGAAGAAAATGTGTGTTCATTCAAAGAAAAGGTTTTCCTATGAATTAATTAGTAGAACAGTCCATTTCTCCTGTGCATTTGTACCCCTTGTTTCTGGAGAAAGCAGAATGAGAGCCGGCTCGCATTCCACAAGGTTGTAAATGTATCGGGTTACCATGAAACCAGGGTCCTGTTCGGCGTCCTGGGGTGTTACAAAGTATTTGTGAAATCTAAAAACCAAAATATATATTGTGTGTTTGATTGGTCCAGACGCTACAAAAGTATTAATTTCTTTTGGACTTTTGAATGGTAGTATACTTGAGCACTTGACATTTTTACACTCATGTAACTTATATGATATTTAATGTACTCAAATTCTAAAATAGGAATCTAGAATTTATTTGAAAGCACTAAGTATTTTTATATACTTTCAGAGCAGCCAGGACCAAACCAAAACCTGACTATGACTAGTGAGTGTGGATTGGCAGCATTATTCTGTGTGTGTGTGTGTATTTCCTGGGGTTTGGCAGGGTCAGAAGGGCAAGATAGGGGATTTATGGTGGTAGAATTTGAAGGGACAGCTTTCAGCTTTTTTATATCAAACAATATTAAAACAGATATGACAGGAGGGGAAAGAGCTCAGAGTGGGACCGCATCGCACTGCACATTCACTTATATAATACTGCTGAAACTTCCTCTGAAACAAAATACTGCAGCAAATATTCACTAATATGTTACATGAAGCATGCACAGAACGCATGTAAATACGCACATAAGGCCCTATGATTTTCATGATGTGGAAAACATTTACAGAATCAAGTCAAAAAATGGCTTAACATGGAATGTCTTGGAATTTCGGCAAATTTTCAGAAAAAAAAAAAAAAAAATCAGAAGTACACTTAATCAAATCACTATGTGGGCTAGTGTCTGTGAATATTAAACTGCAAAAAGACTGCTATTTAAATATGAATGTTCTGTGTGTCTATGTGTGAATGAGTGGTGCAGTTTCATCTGCTACATATACTCCAGCATGCATGACGCTCAGTTTTCAACATCCGCAGTGTCATTACACGAGGACATGAACACATGAACTTCATCTCCAGAGCTGCTCTGAGAGTCACTTCAACAGCATTTCACCATTAATTTCATTTGATTAAAAACTAATCTAAAATTAGTTAGTAACTAAATACAAATTTTAAAACTAAATAAAAAGATTTCATGGGCCCTAAAAAATTAATTTGTGATTTAAAAAAAAAATTGTTGCACTGTATAAGTTTCGCGATTAATTATTTAGACATGCTTTCTGATTATTAATATTTAATCTAATTATTAAAATGGACTCCAGAAAAACGAAAACTGAAAATTAAAATGGTAAAAAAAAAGGTATGGGAAAAAATAAAGTGGATTTCATAGGGCCCTACACACATCACAAGAATGACTAGCAGCAGGAGCGAAGTGCTAAACTGACAGCTCTGAAATCAAACACCTCATGTAAGCATTTACATTTATGTTCTTGGCAGAAACTCCGTCTGGCACGCTCACAAACCAACTCACCAAAGTGACTTACAACAAAGTGATTATATAAATGTAAACAATCTCCAGTTAAAGGTGCAGAGGGGTAAAAGGAAACCCTAAGCTCTGGAGAGGGAGTCTCTGGGGCTCTTGCTGCATAATGGTAATAAAGAATTCTGCTTTCCAGGCCTGAACAGACATTTCTGTTGCTGTATTCAGATCTGAAGGATAGTGCGGCTATTTGTAGAGTATTTGAGCTTGTGTTTCCTGCCTACTGTCATACCGGACACCACCCACGGCTTCTGTAGAGTATGTACTATTGCCATTGAAATAAACACGTTAACGCTTGCGATTAATTTTTTTCAGTTTAATGCATTAAAAATAGTTAAGTTAGAGCTAGGGTTGGCATTCCCACTCACAACTGCTGCTTCTGTCTCTTTTTTCTTGACAAGAATTGCATTTATTTACATACAGAACATCTTTACAACCACATCAAATGGGAGGCTTTTCAAATGCGCACTCCAACTTCGCCACATTGCCAGACGTAATTCAAACAGGTGACGAGGAGCTTCAGTAGAACAACAGGTCAGATGAGATGTTGTCAGGCCATATGTCAGTAAAAACGAATTTTCCTGTGAAGGGACATGTGCTCGGTGAGCGCTGTAGCCACAAAAGAAACTAGGAGCATGCAATGTCATAGTTATGTCATCAGTTAAGTCATGAAGTTACCAAAAATGTAATTGAAGCTGCCTTAAAACTGTGCATGCATGTAAGTATTTGTTATATATGAGTCACATTTAAGAACATGTGTCTGAAATGCAGTGGTTTTCAAAACTATCCTGGATCAGCCCAGCACTGTCTCTCTCATCTAACACACCCGATTCAACTCGTCAGCTCGTTAGTAGAGACTTTAAGACCTGAAGTGAGTCAGAAAAGGTAAAGAGTTGTGAGAAAATACGGTGCATGTCAGATCTGTGTCATGTTCAGCAGTGGCAGCTCTTAAAGTAATAGCAACCAAAAAGAATCCTAATAACCAGCTGCTGTGATGTCTGTTCATCAAAGAAAAAAAGAGGAAATCAATAACTTCTGTAGCTTTAAGGATTCATCTATATTTCATTTAGAATTGAATGCTTGATAACTTTATTCAAGTTATTCCATTTCTGTATATTTCCTACTTGCTGAAGGGCACAGGTAAATATGATATTTTTATTATAATGGGTTTATGTGAAGATTGTTTTAAGTTCACTTAAATTAGAAGCTGTTATTTTTTTAAAGTCTAATAAATGTTCAAATTGATAGCTCTCAATAATACTGTAATGTTGAATGGCTAGTCAATGGTTAAATATTAGGAAAGTCTGTAATATTGGTATCAGTGATACTTGTCATAAAAAAGATGCTATAAAACAAATATAAAAAAATATATTGTCTTTATGTTGTTTCTACATTAATTTGAAGATTGAATGTGAAATTATTGCAATATAGATGTATATTTAAAAACTTTTATGTTAGGTGGGATTAATCGTGATTAATTTCAGAACAAATGTACAATTAATTAGTTAATTTTTTTAAATCAATTGACAGCACTAGTATGTACATGTGCATCTGAGACTGACCGTGGAGCAACACATGAAGACGATGATGAAGGTTCCCAGGACGCCTCCAACACCCACCAACCAGGTCATCCTGAGGAACAGGATCACCCCCAGGATGTTCTGCATACATGGCAGGTAAACGCCCATGACGGTGCCCATACGTGGAGCCTGTCAATCAAGCAACCAACCAACCAACCAATCAATGATCAGGACACCATGGAACATGATTCTCAATATATAGCATCATTAAATGGCCATTTTAGCTTCTTGTCGATTCACATCCACCCAGTCGATGATTAACTAGCATCCACCAACACACAGACGACTGAGGTTCATGAAGAAGGCTCAGTAGTGATTTGGCAGTATGTAGAGATACTGGTAGAGATTTTGTCACCTGCACGGTTTTCTTGCGCGCCTCCTCATTGTTTTCTGCCTCCTCATGTTCTTTACTGCCCTGCGTCAGGTTGGAGTAGTTGGCTAGGCTGCTCAGCAGAGAAGATACCATGGGACTGGTGTCCATCTCCTCCTACACAACACACACAAACAAACAAACAAACATGTTTTATTCTACAGCATATTCATCTAGAACCCTTTAAAATCATTAGCAACACTGGACTACCTCAAACAGTGCCATGTTTTTCCCATCATACTGCTGGCTTTTCTCTACGTCACTGGTGCTGCTGTTGATAAAGGGGCTGCTCTCCTTGGATGTTGCATCTCCTGTGAACATACATAAATTAAACATTGTTTATTAGAATATGCGCTAGAATGTATTTACAATGGGTGTAAACTGTGAAAAAGCTGTCTTACTGTACACTACTACTAAAAACAGTTTCCACAAAAAAAGCACAACACTGTTTATAATAAGAAATGATAATAACAATGATAATAAGAAATGTTTCTTGAGCAGCAAATCAGCATATTAGAGTGATTTCTGAAGGATCATGTGACACTGAAGACTGGAGTAATGATGCTGAAAATTCAGCTTTGAATCACAGGAATAAATTACATTTTAAATTATATTAAAGTAGAAAATGGTTATTTTAAATTGTAATAATATTTCACAATATCACTGTAGCAGCCTTGCAGCCTTGGTGAGAGCACATAATTAAAAAAACATAAAAAAAATCTTACATAACCCAGACTGAGCAGTAACAGTAGTCTGAACAGAAGTGTTCACAGAAGTGTTCATATTTATATATTTTTTATTTTTTAAAAGCAAAACGTTTCACAAAAAAAGCCTTAGTCTTAAAAATATAAAAAATATTATTTATATTTAGACAATTACGTTATGCATTACATTTATCAAAAGCAACATCAACCATAAAGAAAAATAATAATTCATTTGCAATTTGTTCGGACATTGTTCACACTGGATTTGCCTACATGTAAGATCAATGTCATCGCATTTGCATGTAATACTAAAGAATGATATTGCAGCGGTATCATCCGATACACCATAAGCATGTTTGGTTCAAAATGCTCTATTTTTGTATAAGAGCTTTGTCTCACAGTATTTGCAGAACGTCTTTTCACATCTCACACAAACTACAAGTGCTATGTACAGTCCAATTATACCAAGTTGTTACATTTTCCTGGAGGAAAGAACAGGAAGGGGGTGAATTAATTCAACTGTAAAGAAAAACAACAGCGCATCAATATGGAGCACTCCTTGTGCATCCGTATGTGTGTGGGTGAGGAATTCCAGGATTTCTACATACTCTTCCATAGCAACAACCCGGTTCTGAGCCTATTTTTACACTACCGCTTTCAGTCGCACATCCTTTCTCACAGGAACCTTTGATCGCTTAATTCTGAAGCAGTGCAACAGAAACCCTCACGGGATCAGGGCAATTCTGTTGTGTCCTATAAATACATCATGGTTTTTAATTGTGTGTACTTCTAAATTGCAGTGCGTATTGTAATTTCTTTAGTGTGCTGTCACCTTCCCTGCCTTCTCTAACATAATTATATGTGGGAGCATGCTCATTAAATGGCCAAGGGAATCCTGCCTCTTAGCATGCCCAGTTTAATCTGATGTATTAGTTTAATTAATCATGCTTCCTGGCAAAGCGTTGTACATTTTAATTTTCACAGCATTTGCCTGCTTATTGACCTGCGACCCTATGACCTTTAAACACACAATTAATCACCTTGTAATGTCACCTGTCAGCACAAAATCAATACGCCGCCAAGCCTTGTGCTTCCTACGGTCGTTTTTATTTTAAGGTTTACACGTTGATTACTATTTCATTAAGGAGTCCTTGGTCTCACAAAGACCAAGATGAGTTTGAAAACTCATGAATCATCCTGGTTTAGCACTTGGTTCCTACTGTATATGTTTCTTTTCTCTCTAATCTTCTGGCTCTCTTGACACTCAGCATCCCACAACCCCAGCAGACTCACAATGTAATAAGCAATAATGAGAAAAAGATTGGTATACAGATTGAGATAGATCCTAATCTCTGACAACTTGCGTGCTGTGTGGTGAAATTTATAACAGAAGCATTTGGTTCATTGTTACAACCCCAGAAGGGACTCTGAGCATCTCTAGACTTATTATAGGGCATCATACAGATATCAAAGCTTGCTAGACGAGGTTGTCTGCTGATTCTGCCCTGCTGTCCATTTAATGTCTCTGCAGAGGCGAAAGCAGGTAGCTGATGCTTGTACTTTTCTCAGAGCTATTCTTTCCAACCCTGTTTTCTACAAATCTTTGCACTATTAGAAGCATACACATACACACCTCTGGCCAGCTCACTTGGCCTATTCTAAAGCAACACGCGTTATACACTAATATCACATGTGATCAAATTATATTTAAGCAATATCACACTAGCAATATAGCTAAATCACACCCGCGGTGATATTCAGACAAACATGATTATGATACTGCTTTCATACAGGAGCTCAACAAATAAGAAGTTAATATTGTACAATTTACATTTTGCTTTAACTAGCTTTGTCTATTTTTACTAAGCCAGCGAAAATATTTGCAAACATATCCATGGCCAAACACACAGCAGCAAATGTTCAACACTCCTGAATGAATCAGTGTCTTGAACAAATTGGTTGAGTGAATGATTCAGTTACCACTTCATAAATTGTTATGTTCCTGAATGAATCAGTGTTTTGAATGAATCGCTTGAATGAATTATTCAAATGGCTCACTCATAAAGACAGTGGTCTGTCGCCATCTGCTGGGGTAACAGTTTAAAGATTAGCAGTGGTAATTTCATCAGAATTTTAATCAGTGTTGTGCCCTTTAACAAGTCAAGCCATGTTGTTTCAGGCAATCTGTTTCTACATGTACCTATTTGTAAAAGTATTAACTAAATGATAAATTAGTAGTATTAATATGTCAGTAATATTGCTAGTAGCTAAGACTGGTGAAATGATTAGTGCATCAGTCTGTACTTATAGCACTTCCCTGTTCTTCAAACCCAACAGCCACACTTGCATATCAGCATGTGTGATTAGCATGATGAGTCAGTCAAAGCCTACAGCAGATCAAGGAAATAAATTCATGGTAACTTTATGCATATTTCATATATACAGCCCATCAAAGACTAAATACGTAAATGCTAATTAGTGATGAGCAAAATGTGTAGGCTGAGTAAAGCGTTTCTGAGTGCAACATGAGCATGATGTTCTTATCTCATGCAGTTTAGCTTAGCAGCTGTAAAATGATATTTTTAAAATATAATTGGTAACAAGTATTTTTTAACTGGATTTGCAAAAATAAATGAAATAAAAGGCCACTGAAGTGTACACATCCATGACTTTAATTTTTGTATGTTTCTTAACACACTTAAGTAAACTTAAAAAAGTAATAACAAAATACAATTTTATAAATATATTGTATAGTATTACAAGTGCACATTCAATACTAGTAAGTAGCACACTTCTTTTTCACAGGTGACTAGTTGTTGTCTGCTGCTTTTTACAGTCCTAGCAATTAAACTTTTTATGTTTGGCAAAACAGACTGTCTATCATATGCGACTTGTCTGACTTCTACAGTTGGGTTTTGCTCTTTGTTGAGCTCATAATCTGTTACAATATGGCTCAGAAACATTTCAAAACAAATGTTAACGGTCAGTGTTAAGTGATAACTGTAACAGGAAAAAAGTTCATAGTTGTTACATCAGCACATTTAATATGAAAGCATAAAACTATATAAAACAACAATAAAGCCAAGCAATTAAAAGTTAAAGCCCTAGTGTACAATGAAAGCAAAAATGCAAAAACTACAAATAAACAGCCATGTTGCTCAGATACATCTGTTAATATGGGACTGTTCAGTGAAATTAAAACAGCACTGCACTCGTTCCCTCTAAGCACCTTTGCCTTTTGATAATCCACAGTTTTAAAATCTGCTTTTCAAAGCCCATTTCTGCTCATGACATCAAAGTAATCTGCTTTTAAATTTTTTATGTTTTGCCTGCCCCTTTCCCTTGCATTTGTGTGGTCACATTTAGTATTTCATAACTCTCATACATATTTATGGTGTGTAGGATCCATGTGCTGACTTTTATGACAAAGAAGTACACTTTAGCACATATTATGGATATACTTATTTTGTATTGATATACTTATTATCAGACACTAAATGTAGTTTTTTTTCCAATTAAATGAAAATGTTTACAGTTAAACTTGATATCAAATGCAATTAGTTGAACTTAGCAGTGCTTTTTTGGCCCACTTAAGTTGGACTTAAGTATGTCTATATGTAATTTCATAATACTCATATAATTGAATGTAATTTCTTTAAGGCCCTTAAAGGACTTCATGATCTGAGAGCCTATATATTCCCTGAGGCTGAATGTCATCTTTGTCAGCTGCTGAATTGAAGCACCTTTATCTAACTGAAGGAGAGAGAGCAGGTGTTTGAGAAGCCTGCAGAATTGGTTAGCTTGTGTCTCGAGCTCCCTGAGGCTGATTATATCAGGCTGTGCTGCTGTGTGGAGCTACCTCAATTCCCTTCACAACTGATCAGCAGAGATAGCCAGCCTGAGACTGAGGGAGTGGGATGGAAGCTTCAGCGTCCTCACTGCATGGTAGGGTTGTGGTGAGCAACTGAAACCCGAATTTGATAAGAAACAAGCTTTCCTTTAATACATGGCTACTGGCCAGTTCGCAGTCGGTGATGGTTTTCATCCCACTCCACACCTCCTTCATGTTGTTCTGACTAAGTTTGCAATCATGCTTGTGCTGTTATCATTCCTTCCCTTTCTCAAGTAGCATTTTCATGTCTTCCTGTATCCTCTTTGCCTCCTCCTTTTGTCTTCAGACCACCTTCTTTTGGCTCAGCAGGTCCTTCAGATCTTTAGTGATTCATGTTTTGTTGTTGGGGAAGACAACACGATCCTCATGAAAGTGCCTCGGTGTCACTGTATGACTCACAGAACACGTCTTATTTGGTTTACTTCAAGTACTCCTGTAAAGCCTCCTCTACTTCCGTTTTGTCCTGGTGGTAAAAGGCGCTTGTTATATGGTCAGTTTGCATTAAGGAAGAGATGCCGCATCCAGGAGTGCTAGAATCCTGTTGGATCTTTTAGTTCTTGTTCGGTTCCCTCATAGATGAGAAGTCTTTAATTTGTTTGATTGATTATATTTGATTATTGACTATGATGCTTCCTCAGTACATGGTGTAAATGATTATAAATGTGAACAGGGAAAATAATTATCTTTTATAATCCACTGGTGTCAGTATTTTTGG